AATCTGTCAGATATTATAGTTTTAAATCATATCCAAAATTTCAAGTGAAAATTTTTCCATACGTTTATGTTACTTTCAAATTATCTGAATCTTGCTAGAACTGGTTCATAAAAGACACCAATATATATAACAAAATGTAATTGCAATACATTGTAATATAAATCCTGTTTTACATCACAATTACATAAATCTTCAGCTATTTAATTTCAAAAAATTTTTTAATGTTTATTTTTGAGAGAGAGCAGGGGAAGCCCAGTGAGAGAGAGAGAGAGAGAGAGAGAGAGAGAGAGAATCCCAAGTAGGCTCTGTGTTGTCAGCACAGAGCCTGATGTGGGGCTTGATCTCATGTTGAAATCCTGACCTGAGCAGAAACCAAGAGTCGGTTGCTTAACTGACTGAGCCAACCAGGCACCCCTTCAGCCATTTAATTTTAAAGAAGAAATCATACGCTTCCCTGAAACCAAGCATATCATGTCCTGAATTCCCCAACTACGCATTCTTCATTTATCACTGAAAGACAAAATTATATTCTTTAAATTTATGTTAAGTGATAAAGTCTCCGATTTTGTTGTATATATGGATTTCTTCCCCCTCCTTTTGAGATGTGAATCTCATGAATTAACAATTGGTGTTTCGGGGTGCCTGGGTGGCTCACTTGATTGAACATCTCTTTATCAGCTCAGATCATGATCCCAGGGTTGTGGGATCAAGCTCCAGGTTGGGCTCTGCCCTGAATGTGGAGCCTGCTTAAGATTCTTTCTCCTCCCTCTGCCCCTCTCCTGCTCACATGTGCACTCTCTCTCTCTCTCTCTCAAAAAAAAAAAAAATCAGTGTTTCTACAAAGTTCTGAATATGGAGTAAACATAAACGTAAAAAGAAATCATCTTGAAAATACGGATTCTGATTCAGAAATTGGGGGCTGGGGCTCAATATCTTATATTTCTAACGTTCGCAGGTGGGGCCCATGAGACTGGCCCAGGGACCACACTTCAAGTAACAAAGGACCCGATATAGAGAGGAATTACAAGAGACATAGTAACCAGGAACTGAGAAAGATTCCTTGCAGCATGAAGGAAATGAATCACAGTATGGATGTTTTCCTCCTGGAGGGACCAAGAGACCCTGCCTGGGTAGTTCTGGTCATGGACAGAGCACTGTAGGGGTGGGGATGCCGTTAAACAGCTAAACTCTGTTGTCCTTTAAGAAAAAAAAAATACTAGTTCTATGTTGCATAAAGTGCCCCATTAAAAATGACCCAGCAGCGGGAATGTATGATGTCACTGGAGGCAGAAAGCCTAGAGGTCAGGCAGATGAGCGAGCCCAGACTGCAAGGCTGTTCCCTCCACACCGCTGCGCCCAGCGTTCATAATAAAGTGACAGGAGGAGAGTTACAGTGGAGTCCTTGCACGTGAAATGAATTTATGGACCTGTCTGGCTGAGCAAAAATTAATGGATTGAATTTAGCAAAAGGTTTTGTCTATCTCCTCCCCTTACGGCAGCCAGGGTTTTTATCATTTCCTGTCGGCCAGGGGGGAGCATGGGAATGAATGAAGGTGCAAACCAGTGATGAACGTGAAAATCAAATGCATACAAGGAAGCAAGGTCACTGGCTGCTTCTGGAAAGTTTCAAAGTCACTCTTCCTATGTAACAATATATCATCTGTAGACATCCGTGACCTATCAGGGGGATGAAAGGTAACTGCTCAAATATTAATATCTAAAATACAGAAATACACTTGATTTTTATCATAAGCTGATAATTTGCTCATCTTCAATATATTTCATCAAAAGCAGCACCAGTGTTCCTATTAATCTTCACGGAACATGGACAGGATGAAAAGAACTAATGTGACATTGGGAACGCGCTTGGTGTATCGCACCAGGTCAGAGGCTGCACACTGTGTTCACAGCCACCGCGCACAGCGTCATTATCTCCGTGTTTCAGAGGAGAGAACAGAGACTTTCAGCAACTCACCAAGTTTATACAGCTGGCAAACTGTAGAGCTGAAATTTGCAATCAGTGTGTGTGAACCGCCCAGGTCAGGGACAGGGGAGGACAGGTGCACACACATGCTGCATTGCTACCCTCGCCCTCCCCCCCACCCCCGCGGTGTGCTCATACCACATGCCCCACAGAAGTCCACACCACTCCACGGTGCCAGCACACCAGTAACCTCACCCCCGTTAGCTGAGGTCCTCCTGAGGTTGGGAAAGTTGATTGACAGAGCCCTGCTGACCTGACAATCCTCAGGTATTACACTTTGCTAAGAGGTCACCTTTAGGTAAATAACAAAAAAAGTACACTGTCTCTGGAAGGTTGCAGTTAACATGTCCTTAGCTCCATAATCATGTTCCTTAGGCTACATGGGGGCATTTTCTACAGCTATTCCGGCTGAAGAGGCAGATTTGGAAAACCACCCCCAACTACTAGAAACCTGCGGGTGTGCACGTGGAAGGGGCAAGTTGGGGGGGGCAAGGATATCCCAAGCCTGTGTGATGCCCAGCGTTTACTTTGTAAACATCCTTCTCCAGTCAGTAAAAATATTTTCAGTTAGAGGTGGCTGGGTGGCTCAGTAAATTAAGCCACTGACTTCTGCTCAGGTCATAATCTCACAGTTGGTGAGTTCAAGTCCCCCATTGGGCTCTCTGCTGATGTGAGGTTTTGCTGCAGAATGTAGCAATGTAGTTTTGCTGATTGTTTCCTTCGTTGTGCAGAAGCTTTTTATTTTGATAAGGTCCCAGTAGTTCATTTTTGCTTCTGTTTCCCTTGCCTCCGGAGACATGTTGAGTAAGAAGTTGCTGTGGCCAAGATCAAAGAGCTTTTTGCCTGCTTTCTCCTGGAGGATTTTGATGGCTTCTGGTCTTACATGGAGGTCTTTCATCCATTTTGAGTTCATTTTTGTGTACGGTGTAAGAAAGCGGTCCAGGTTCATTCTTCTGCATGTCGCTGTCCAGTTTTCCCAGCACCACTTGCTGAAGAGACTGTCTTTATTCCATTGGATATTCTTTCCTGCTTTGTCAAAGATTAGTTGGCCATACTTTTGTGGGTCCATTTCTGGGTTGTCTATTCTGTTCCGTTGATCTGAGTGTTTGTTCTTGTGCCAGCCAAGTTAAATTTAAATTAGGGAAGTTGAGATTTTTAAAGTGGATGTTCCCTGAGTTCACACACAAGAACACCCTTGACCATAGCAAGCTCTATCTCCCCTTTGCTGTTCCTTCTTCCTTCGCTGTGCCTGATGCAAGTGCATGGACAGTGTTGGCTTCCCACCCCCCACCCCCAACCCCCGGGGCAGGGTTGGGGGGGGTGGGTACAGTCAGACTCTCCGGTGTCTGGCACGCACTTCTCAAACAGGTGGCTGGGCGATGTGGTCTCCTGGGTCACGTGCCCATCTCTGCGGTTCCTGGGTGCTCAGCTTGCCTTACTCTAGTTTGCATACTCAGGGCTTGGGCAGCGCGCGCTAGCTGTTCCTAAGATTTCCCGAACTGAACACGGAAGGAAAAGTAAAGTCATTTAAAATTAATTAGAAAAGCAAGGCTTGCCAGTGGACTGGACTTTTCAAAGAAGTTGATTTGCTTACCAAACAAAGTCAGACATCGGGCAGAATTCGAACGAACTGCCTTTTCAGCTAAAGTTGCTCCCTGGGTCCCCCGCGCATTAAGAGTAGGACTCCTGGGTCACACACCCACGTGGGTGGGGTGGAGGCGGCCCACCCCCTTTCCCAGGGGCGCTCCTGAGGGAAGGCGCTGCCCTGCCTCCGGCCTCGGCTTTTTCATCGCGCAGTGCCAGTGTTTCGAGCCACTGCAGCAGTAGAGCGCAAGCCACCTCTTTGTTTGGGTAGTGCTGACAACACACCAAGGGAGCAGAGATCGTCCGCCACAGCAATGTGGAGGGGCCTCTGGTGGCCCACGCCGTCCACCTGGCCCTGACCCCGCCCTTCACTCAGCCCCGCTCCGCCCTCCCGGCTCAGACCCCG